TTGTCCTCAATAGGATCAGATATGAGAATTAAGCAGGAGATACTCATTCCCTGACCACAAGCAAGTGCCTTCCCGGAGAATTCTAAAGAAAGACATCAATCCCATAGTGCCGACTGACATTGATATTTTACATTACTGCCATCTTGTGATTGTCTCTTGAAGTCAGCTAGACCAACAGCTATTGAACTTGCTGCTCTATCATTTTTGTGGGTGTGTTTCCTGTTGAAGGCTGGAACAAAGGCAAGGTGAGAGGGTGGCTGCTTTTTATGTCTACTAGCATATGCCCATTATAAATAAACCTGTCCTCTTTAACAAGAGACTGAAAAGACCCCGGTGTGTTAGAAGTTGCCCCTGTCTCTGCTTTCACTGCTTTGACATCAGTTACTATTTGTGCATTATCGTGTACATGCACAGATGTGTATGTGCAAATGCAAGTAGAGAGGCAAATTACTCTGTATTTTTTCATCTCAAGTAATGCAAACATGTCAACATGCTTAAGAACAGTGTTTAAAAAAAACACACATAAGAAATTACAGGCAGGCATAGATTTTGCAGTCAACAACTGTTCATGGTAAATGACATAGTAAAAAACAGATACAGCCAAACCAAGACGCATGGTTAAACTTTAAGTTTTTACATTTACATAGTCTCTCTAAAAACATACTTAACTGATCCAGCTGCGTGTCCAATATGCAGATAAATAAGTGGTGAGGTTTTGTTTAAAACACCATGCCTGCATGTCTACATCAATATGAAGAATAATTCATGGGAGAATAAAGAAACATGACAAAAACTAGCCACTTGCCAAGGAACAACTGGAAGAACTGACCCAAGCAGTCCTTCTTCCAAAGACGGTGGCTGTCATGAAATGCAAGAGACACCAATGAAACTCAGCATGTGTGGCTAAAGGAAACAAAGCAGCTGACCAGGCAGAAAAAAATGGAGGTCTTGATGGAAGAATAGTGGCACCAGCAAAACTCTGCCAGCTTTTAATCAAGCAAGTGCGTGTCAATAAAAAGCTAACTCAAAGAAATATGGAGGAGTTGTGGTAGCACATTGTGAGTAACCACGAAGCTGAGTGTGTCACCTGTAATGACCACAACTCGAAACAGGTGTTCCATGGGAAGATTTTTGGTCCCAGATGCCCCATTCAAGGACATTGCCACTGATTTTACTGACATGAGAACACAGAACAAAGGGATACCAATATCTACTGGTAATGGTGGACAGATTTACCGAATGAGTGGAAGCAATTCCCTGCGAGAAAGAAGATGCAAAGACTGTAATAAAGTGGCTGAGGAATGAATCAATAGCCAGATATGGAGCGCCAAGAATCAACAGGTAATGCATCACATTTCAATAATAAGCATCTATCAAAGTTGAGAGAGCACTAGGCATAACAGACCGATTTGGGGCAGTATATCATCCGGCATCTCAGGCCATTGTAAGAAAACCAAACCCTGAAAAGACAAAATGCCAAAATACGTATGCCACTACACTACAATGACACGGGTAGATGCATTACCATTGGCATTAATGTTTTTGGGATTCACACCACATAAGTAGACAAATTTGACAACACATTAACTGATGACATTGGTGTGAATTTTAAGAGACTGTGAGGCCTGTGTTTGAAAAACACGGAAAGGATTTCAGCGAGACATCTGCAACAGTCTAGTTCATCCACTAGCTGTACAAGGGATTTGTTATAATTGTCTTGTAATATTGTCCAAATTTATAATCTATGGTGTTCTAATTATTTTATACGTTAATTTCAAATGCACAAGACTATAAGGTTATTCCTCTAGGATCTCCAAAGCGGGAGGTTACTTTTAAATGACTGAAGTGCCTAAAGCATTTGCGTTTTATGTTTGTAGTTTTCACAGTGTTAAAAAAAATTAATTAAAAAAGCAAAGCGCCTTTCTTGAAGAAGCAGTGCTGTGTTGTCATTTTGGAGATACAGTAAAAACTCGCCCTAGCCCGCACTGGTGAGAAGCTGCTGGTAGAAGCTGCAGCAGTGAGTGGCAGTACAGCGGTGAGACGCAAGAGGGCGCCATCACACAAGCTCACTGTTCACAAACAGCCAAGCACAGCAGCAGCAACGCTGGGTAACTGGATTAATGTGAAAATTAACAAACGGTAGTGTTTAAAGTAGAATAAGAGTGGTTAAATTCAAGTTTAAAGATCCACAATAAGTTTCTATAACACATTTGTCAAAGGTTACTTAATTTCTACAGTGTTTCAAAGTGATGCTTTGTAGTTTAGGAAAGAGTTTTGTGTGTTTGCTTAAGGTCAAACTATATGTGAAGTTTACAAAGTTCTTTAAGTTAAAGTACATCTGTATTAAGAGTGAAGCTCAGTACAGCTAAAGTATACAGTAACAGTAATCCCAAAGTAATACTTGAGATACATATAATAAGTTACAAATTTAAAGAAGTATTTTGAAATTTAAACATAATGCATTGACTGACATTTAACTAGACTAACAAGATGGTTGACAATGATCATGAAGAGCACTGTGCTGTTCCACCTACTGACTGAAGCAGAAGACAATGATGCTGAGCAACTTATAAAACGGCAGACCGTTAGTTACTCTTTCGCTTTTACAAACTGAAAAGGGTAAAAAGCTTCAAGAGAAGAAACTTGAAAATCTCCAATACATATATGCAGTTGTTTTTGGAAAACGGAGATATGAAGCAAAGTAATATTAAGAAAAGAAGTTTCAGAGAATGAACTGAATGAGCTGATTAACAACGCAAATGTCACCTGCGAAGATGTACAAACCATTTATGAACAAATACACCAAATACGAACCCCTGCTGCAGACGCAAGGCACAAAATAGATGCATGTACATCACTTTCCTCATTCATTGTTAAAAGAGCTGAAAAACAGCCAAAGGCCCGATGCTGGGCTGTGCTTAGGATCTGAAAGTATTAAAGCAAGGTCAAAATCGCGAAGGTCTAAAAGTGGTTCAGGTCAGTCATACTCACAAACAAGCGATGGAAGCAGAGGTTGAAGTAGCTGCATTTCAAGAAATATTAGCAGTCATGGAGGAGCAAGAAAGGGAAGCAGCTGAACTACAAAAACTGGAACATGAAAACTTGGAAAGGCAGCAAGCAATGGAAACGCAGTGCAGAGAGATCGAACGCTTGGAAGAGGTTAAAAAATTGAATGCTACAAGAGCTAAAGCAAAAGTTTATGAGGAAGGGGAAAGAACAGGCATGTTCAGCAACAAAAGTCCCCTTAAGCTCCTTAATAAACAATTTAAGGAGTGGACTAAACTCGCTTTATACACACGACTGCACCCCCGCCCACCAGAGCAACACCATTGTAAAGTTCGCAGATGACACTACTGTGGTGGGGCTCATATCTGGGGGAGATGAGTCTGCCTACAGAGATGAGGTGGAGCGGCTGTCTTCATGGTGCAAGGATAACAACCTTCTCCTAAACACGAAAAAGACCAAAGAACTCATAATTGACTACAGAAGACACAAGACAGAAATCCAACCACTAATCATCAGCGACGACTATGTGGAGAGGGTGGCAGACTTCCGCTTCTTGGGAGTCAGCATAGAGGGAAACTTATCCTGGAGTGTGAATACCTCTGAGCTACTGAAAAAGACACAACAGAGACTGTACTTTCTGAGAGTGCTTAGGAAGAACAACATCACACAGAGACTGCTGGTGTCTTTCTACAGAGCCTCCATCGAAAGCATACTAACGTACTGCATAGGCATATGGTACGCTAGCTGCACAGTGGCTCAGAGGAAAGCACTCCAGGGAGTAATCAACGCTGCCCAAAGGACAATCGGCTGCCCTCTCCTCAAACTGAAAGACCTACACAGTTCCCGCTGCCTCAAAAGAGCCCATAACATCATAAAGGACACCTCACACCCTGGACACTCCATGTTCGAACTGCTGCCTTCAGGTAAACGATATAGAACAACATACACAAGGACTAACAGACTCAAACACAGTTTCTACCCAATTGCAATATCATGTCTCAATGCTACTAAAAGTAGATGACTTTCATTGCCCCTGTTGTCATTTGTGCCCTTGATGTTGGAATGCTTTCAGACATGTTTTGTTGGATGTGCTAACAAATTGACTGAGTGATTGATTGTTTGAGTGATATATCAACTAGGTCGTATGTTGAGTGTCTGTATGGGGCCTTAGCCCTGGATTGCTTGGGTGTATTTACTGTATGAGAATACTATATTTTATATGTATTTCTATCTTTTATATCCTATCTATTATAGTTTTTAAGTATTTATCTTTCGTGATGTTGCACTGACCGGAGACATCTTTCAATTTCATTGTACTTGTGACAATGACAATAAAGAATATTCATTCATATTCATTCATTCATATTCATTCAATTCGTAGGAACACACAGGAATTGGCTGAGACAGTAAATAAGCTTCTCTCCATGTCAAAGCAGAAACCCTCCGCAACAACAGTCCTCTCCTGAAAATGCTTTCAACATAGGGGACACAGTATCACAGAAAGCAGCCCCCATAAAAGTCAGGGCAGCCGGCACCACCCCTCTGAGCTCGGCAGGAGAGGACAGTGGATAATTTTGACTTAATCGATTCAACTACCTGAGCAAAAACAGTCGAGCCTCTGAGTCATGAGCACATCTTGGGCTCCAACGAATTGCAGGGCAGCTGTGTGTTCTCTTAAAAGGCACCCCTGCTTATCCAGTGCTGTTCCGACCAGGTCTGCTGACATGGTGGATAGATTATATAGTCAAGTTTTAGCAAACAACATGTGTAGGACTCAAGTGCCAGACACAGGCAGGACAGAGAGCAGTGGAGTGCAGCTTGAGATTCTTCATTCACTTTGAGAACTTGAACATGAATTAACTTAGGTGAGCTCTACTCACTTTAAAGAAAAGCAAACATAGAAACTAATTTTACTTAAACACAAGGCTGAGCTCAACTGAATCCAATTAAAATGGAGAGAGACACACATGAGGAGCGGAGGATGGTAACGAGAGACCAGGAGAGATCTGTGAGAGGAGATTACAAGTTAGACTGGGCAGAGAATCCAGGAGATGAGTTAGGTAATATTATCCAGAGGATTATCAAGAGAACACCTTTACTTGAGATCCAAGCTAGTGGGGAAGGGGGAGGATGCCAGAAAACCTTGAATCCATGAGGCGGCTGGTGGTGGGTGGACAGGCAGGTGAGCATGGGCATGCACTGAAGAGCAGCGACAATATTCACTTGGCCTGGATCTTCTGACCCTCCAGAGCAAGCCTTGCCATCGCTTGAGCCATTCACAGGTGAGCTAGGGCACATGTCCACAATGTATGCATGTTTTTAAGCAGTGACAGAAAACAAATGCCACTGACTTTGGACATACATCAGATTTTTATCGTTAATAGTTTTTTAGAGCATCATGTTCAAACACTGTCTCAGATATCAATGCAGCATTTTATGACCGAACCAATGAAAGAGTGAGCTGTGAGTAGGAGAACGCTGTGAAGCAGAAGCTCCGCCCTCTGGGAGTCATTCCGAATAACAGTTAGTAGTTGAGCCCCGGTAACCAAACCGAACGCTCCTCCTGCTGGTTCGTCTAAATTTTCGCTGCTTTGTTCTTTTTGTGTCTGGTCCAAACCGTTCGACACGGCTCACTGTGGAGAGAGCGAAAGAAGAGCGCTTACCTCGAAAAGTTTTCTTTGACGAGAAAGAGCGGGTCCAGTTCTACTGCGGATTGACGGCGAGGTCTTTAACTTAAAGCAGCTCCAAACAAACCTAGAAAACTAGTGAGGTCTTTGCAAAGGGAAAAGTGGATGAGCAGCTCCTCTGTCATATTTCAAAGTTTGTTAGACAGCAGCAGACTGTAAAAGTATTCAGCATTACATAAAAGACGCAAAAAAGGCATGAATCCTTAATGAGAACTCCGGGGAGTGAGCAGACTCTCCAGACTTGTGCACTGCGCAATAAAGTGGGACTGAGTTCCAGGCAGAAAGCTGGAGAGCAAGACGTATATGGACTGATTGGCTGTGTGGACGCTGCCCTGGTGTGATGCTCATTTGGTTCTGTTTGAGTGAAAATGAAACTTTGGGACAGTTTGTCCCATTGGACCCGAATTTGGGACAGTTTAACGGCTTTTGCGGTCAAGCTTTAGCCGTGGACATTTTTTTTTCTTCCTCAAACAAGAGGCAGTTGATGTCGTCGCATATCAATATGAAATGGATTATTATCAGTTTGTTTTCTTGGAAATAAATTCAGTTAAAGCTTTGAGAGCGGGAATATGCAGCCAGTGAATATTGAGTATTGATCTTACGTGGATATAAAGTGCACAAATTCTCTTTGCTTTTCCTTGAAAACCCTGGTTCGGGGAATTCTCTCTGCGGGTCTCAGTGCGCTCAGAGCTCAAAGAAGAGACGCGGATGTTCGCTTGGGCGCAGCGTGCAGCGCCGCTGCACATGGAGCGCTCGGGGCGGCCGCCGCTGATGTTGCTCGGTCTGCTACTCCAAATCTGTTCCGCCGTTACCACTGATCGCATGAACTCCGACCGGTACGCGGTCTACTGGAACAGCTCCAACCCTAGGTAAGACCCAGACTGGGCTTTTACACAGAGTGGGTATTGAGTAGAACACTGGAAGTGCCAGAAATCATCATTAAAGGAGGGGAAATAAATGGGACTCAATATTATAATGATCCTTTGCGCAGTCGGTGGACATAGTTTGTAAAAAGCAAACAAAACAAAACGCTTATGTTAACAAAGCTAACAAATGTTAGCTTTGTTAATGAAAGCGAGTAGCAGCAGCATGGCAGGGCTGCATGTTGAACTGTCCGAGGTCACACAGCCAGAAAGTGAGTCCATTATCCGCATCTGAAAACTTTCTGGGGCTGTAACAGAAACGTTTGTCAAAAGGGAGCAAAACGGTTAGAATCGTAAAATTTGTCTCAAACAAATGACACTGTTCAGTAGATCAAGATTTTTAATAAATAAACCGCAGGTGCGCTTTCAACATCCATACTACCGTCATCCAACATCCATTCTCCTAGTCTTCTGACAGAGAGCACAATGCCAAATGAGCTACATAAAATATATATCAAATAATTCGTGTATGCCGAGAGTGAAGGCTGAGCTGATAAACTAAAGGAATTTTGTAGAATGTGCACATGTAATTTCTAACGACTGTCCATGGAGCTTAATATAAATTTTGTTGCCGCAATGTCAGCAACCTCAATGAAAAAAACGTAATAAAATAAAATTCCAGTGAAAGCTATTCTCGGTTCAAGGGGTCTCTAAATTTCTTTGTTTTGGTTTTTTCAATATTTAGTTTACAGAGGAATCAAACCATTTGACTCTGCAATAACAAGATGTGTTCTGTGTTCTGCTGTGTAATCAGCAGCTGTTTTGTTAGATGTGATCTTTTCTTCTGCAGGATTATACAGACCTCCTTAGATCTCTTTCGCTTTTCAGCAGTTGGTTGGACAAAATATCTGAACATATGAAATGCTTTAAACATTTTCTGACATTTATTAACAACATGATTCATGATAATTGTTGTCAGTATAACTTTTTTTCTTTCAATCAGTCATTCCTCAATGAAAAACAAGACAAGAGAAACAAGAGAATCCACTGCAGCTTTGCGGTTGACAAGTTAAAGTTGACACCTTGTAATCCAAATATTGGATTACAGTAAACACGATAATCAAAAAACTGAAATTTTGGTCACAATTTTGTTTTAAAGATGTGAGTAATGATAGGGGTATTATAAAAGTCTGCCTGTGTCAAAAACAATTTTGATCTAAATACAAGTCTAAATAATCACAGTTTCTATTTTCATCTCCTTTGATGTTTTTGCTTTCACACACGAAATTACATGTGAACTCAAATCTTAATGTGCTTTTCACTGATGGTTGTACAAAAATTACGTTTGGGGAAAGTAAATTTGTTATATAATTTAAAGTTTTGAAAAAAATATATGGACTGAATAACTTAAAATGAAAGTTGCAGACAGTGAAATGTCTTTCTCTGAGAAAGGTCACATAACCTTAATGTTAGAAATAACTGCAGTTACCACAAAATACAGACAAAGAAAAGAAACAGACATCCTAAATGAATGTGTTAAATGTCCAGAGTGGTAAAACTGACCCTGATTTGACTAACTGTGGAATAATTTCTCAAGTTGTTTTTCAGTAACATTTTCAAGACTTAGGTGTATTATGTGCCTGGCAGCAGAGCATTGATGACTGTCCATTCTGTCTTCTGATTGGCTAAATGGTATCTGAACAAAGCAATAGCAACGTGCAGTGTTCGCAAATCATTGTAATATTTTAGGGATTTATTTTCATTTTGAGGTGTAAGAGAAAGAAAAATGTTCAGATTTTACTTTTGTAAATTAAAAAATGAAGAGTTTAAGAGATGCTGAACAGAAATGTTATTGAAGAGGAAACATGTCTCACATTTCAGTTCTCAAAGAGAGCCTGTAGCAGGAAAAGCTCTTAGATTCCAGCCTCATAACATGTTTCCATATGCACATGCTGTTTGCATCTGGAGGACCATATCTCAGGTTTCCAAGTGCATGATCTGTGCTTTAGTGTCCTTATAATATTCCTCTAATAATTGAGGAGTAATATTCCAGTTTGGCCAGTTTATTATAATTTATGCTTTCACTTGAATACCAAAATATTTTAAGTGATTCCTTTAATTTGAAAGGTCTCAAAGTGTACAGTTCTGTGAATTTAACTTTGATCTAAATATCACTTAAACAGTTGAGGTGTAACAGTAAACATGACATCTAGGAGACAAGGTTGGCCAATGACAATATGGCGTGTTCACACTGCAGAGAAAGATTTCAGTGACGATGGAAAATTACAGAACAAAACGCCTTCACTTCTTTCTTTGTAGAAGGGAATTTATTACATGTACAAATATGTGCACTTTTCCCACATGTTCCAGATGTGATTGAAATTTTGCCAGAGTTGATATTCTGGCATGTTTTGGGGAATCGCAGCTTTGCTGAGCCAAGAATGACATCAAGGCTTTTGTTCAGTTTTTTTGAAAAGACATCCCCAAAAGTTCCACATCTTGGGGGGCAAGAATCTGAAAATGTTTGAGAAATTTCCACAATTTTATAGGAAAAAATAAGAAAATATTCCTCAGCATTTCCTCTCTTGGCTCTTTTGGTTATTGATAACGAAGTGTTTTCATCTCCAAATATCATTCGTTATCAAACTTTTAGTTTTTTAGAAGATTAAGTCATATTTTCTGTCCTTCCAGAAAATCTGACATTCATTTGCTAAGGTAATCAGAGGAACATGTGTGCTAACATTTGTACTAGTAATTTATTAACAGTTCACGTTATTAATCTCCGTTTTGGTTTTTCTTTCAATTTTTTGTAAATTAAACATCAAAACAATAAATGTCCAGTGCAACCTTGTTGATGTCTTTTCATCCATTCACAATTCCAAAATCACAAATATTCAGTTTACAATTACATGACACAAAGACAGGAGAACAAAGAAAAACAGGAAATTGTGTCATCTGAGAGGCTGGAATACTGCAATATTCAGTCTTTACTGGCTAAAAACTGATCGAAATAATCAAATGCTTTTTTGTCAACTGATAAGTAAAATTTTTTCATCAAATAACACTTGCCGAACGTCCCGTGGTGTAATTAGTATGCAACACGAACGCTAAAACAAAAGTGGACGTCGAGGCGACGACATACCTGCTGCTCAGTCTGTGACTTTTTGTCAGACTTGGGGACAACTGTGGGCTTTTTGTAGCCATTTCCCTCAATGCCGGGTTTCAAAAATGTCCTTTCACTTCAGCTCTCATGACTCATCGAGTGACGCTACTGATTAGTCAGTTGGTGGCATGCAGTCTGACGACGTCACATTTATTATCTACCTTAAGACCTGGATGACCTCAAATTCCCTGCTTCTAAAATCAGAAAAAACTGAGAATATTGTACTTGGGCCTTAAACATGGTATCTAACTAGGTATCTAACTAGATACTGACTTTAAGTGAGATTACTTTGGCCTCCAGTAACACTGAGGAATCTCGAGTCATTTCATGTATTATCATGAAGATATGTCCTCTAGCTGACCAAGCGACTATTTTTTTTTTTAACCACTCACAACCAGCCAAGGGAATGTTCATTTTTCTTTGGCAAGCAACAGTTGCCAGGCAGTCGCCAATTGGCCTCTATGCCTGTGTGACAGAGGCCTAAGTTCAGAATCAGAAATGGAGCATGTGGAGTGAATGGGCGACCAACTCTGACAGGGGGGGCTCAGATCAAACACAAAAAAAACAAAAAAAACAAAAAAAACCCCACATATGTGACCTTCTTGAATAAACCTGTACACTGTGCAACCTTTACAGGCTACATAACAAATTTAAGAATAAAGAACCTGCTTTAAATGGCATCATGATACAGTTTGCATAATTACAACCATACACTCACAATGGAATTAGTAAGTGAGGGAAGCTATGAAGAGAAGTGGAAAGACAGTTGGTCCAGATGACATACCTGTGATGTGAAGAGCTCTAGGAAAGAGGGCAGTTGGCTTTTTAACTAGATTAAGACAGTCCAGGAGATTGAGAGGATCCCTGACGAATGTACTGCTATAGAGTTTGAGAACAAGGATGATGTGAAGAGCTATAGTAACTACAGATGCATAAAGCAACTTGGAGTTAGTATCTTTTCCAAGGATATTTGGCATGCAGGGATCGAACCACCAACCTTCCTGGTAGTAGATGACCTGTTCTACCTCAGTTACAGAGAGGTGACTGTCGTATAGTTTCATGTGGAGAGAGAACAAGAACTGTGGCCAACTACTTGTGTTTAAATAGTGTCTATATGACATGAGGGGTACTTCTGAAAGTCTGACCTGTGAAGGATCATAAGCTCCAAAAATAATGTCATTGTCAATCATGCTAGTTACCTCGATTGCTGTAGAAGCACTAAAATACTGAACCATTAACTTGAGCTGCAGTAACTTATTGGCAATGTTGGTCTTTAAACATTTCTTTAACAAATGTAAAAATGTATCAGTACACGCTTTTTCAACAACAGTATTCAGCTGATGAGGTGCAGTCACCAGGATCCCCAAAGCTCATCAATAACACAAATGCTGCCTATGTTTATTATTATAAAAATATTATAAATAAAGGCAATTATTATTAATATGAGGTGTTTAGTACAATCAGTATTATAAATTAAGATATGTTAAAAGAGGAAAAATGAATAATCTAAAGATTAATCCATTAACGTTGTTGCTGGATAAGACGAGAGACAAGCTCCTCTTGTTAAACATAGAATATAACTGCTATGAAACTTTAGATGCTAGTTCAACCTGACTTAATAGTTGTAATTTTTGGTCTGTTGTGTTCTCAGCTCACTGAATCCTTTTGTGTAGATTTGCTGCAGTTTTCTGTAACCACACTCTCTCCTCATACTGATGTGAATAGGCGATATGGCCTAAAATCCATATCACGGTATAATTTGAAGCATGTGCGGTAACGATATATTTGCGATATATTTTCTTCTGTATAACGTACTTTACACAATATAAGGCACACTTAAAAT